GGGAGCCTGAGCCCCTGAGCATCCTGGCAGGTCCGAGATGCTGCAGAGACTCCAGGTGCTGCAGAGAGCCCAGGGTGCTGCAGAGAGTCCAGGAGGCAAGACATTGATGGGGCCCTGGGGGCTGGAAGGAGCACACTGTCCCCCTCACTGGCCATGCCTGGGTGGAGGTAGGCCCAGGACTGTCCGTGCTGGTTTTTCCTGCACACACACCTGTGACGGGGACGGTCAGACCAGTGAGAGACGGGCAGCAGTGAGGAATACAAGAGAACAGCTGGGGTCTGTCTGCTCCCACTCACTGTGTCCCTGTGTCTGTCTCACATGCCCTGTCTGTGGGAGAGGTGGGGGACTGCCCTCTGTCAGGACTGTACAGCGGACCCTGGAAGCAGAACTGCAGGTGGAGGGTGCTGTCCTCGGCGAGGGAGCGGAACTGATGGCACAGTGGCTCCAGGGCTTTGGGGTCCAGAAAGTAGCCAGCAGCTCTGCAGCAGGGGCTCATGGAATGGCGGGAACCCTGCCTGCTGCTTGGGGTGTGAGGCTGTGGTGGTGGACACTGGTCTGGGCAGCAGTGGACCCTCAGGGGCAGGTTTGGAGGGTGCAAGGGGTATGACTTGAGGGAGCTGGGGCAGCATCAAGCCCAGAGGCCAGTGAGGACCATCGCAGGGAGGGCGTGAGGCGGTGTGAACAGGCTGCGGTGGGCCGTGCCAGCAGATGTGGACCCGTGGGGAGGTGGGCCGAGGGGCGGCCGAGCTGGAGCGGTTCCCGGTCCTCTGTCCCTGGGTGGCACCGGCGAGTCCTTCCTTGTCTTGAAGCAGGTTGTCCACCTCCTGGCTGTGTGCCAGCTGTGTGCAGGTGAAATCTGAGTGGGTGCCCGGCAGGGGCTGGCTCACAGGCACGTGCTGGTTTCCCAGGTGTGGACCCTTCCTGCTGGCCGAGCAGAGCTGTGGCGGGAGATGGGGGGAGATGCAGGTGGCACAGGGCACAGGGCGCAGGGCGCAGCTGCTGCGCAGAGCAGAGGCTTCCAGGCTGCAGGGCGTAAGTGATGACGAGGTGCGGTGAGCTAGCTGGGAAGAGGCGAGGTCTGCTGGCCTTGGGGTGCTCGGGGCACGGGAGGGGTGCAGTCGTGCAGGCTGGTTCCACGCAGCCATTCAGAGTCTGCAGTTTTCACGCCTCAGGCCTCCCCTTCTGCCCAGCAGCCACTGGAGTTGGGTGGGACCTGCCTGGCTAGTGACAGTCCTGGGAGAGAGGCCACCTCAGGTTTCACCCATATGCAGAAGCCACACAGGGCAGGTGAGGGCCACTGGGGTCACCCTTTGAACCAGGGGGCCCCAAGGCCATTTTGGGCACCAGGCTTTCTGTGACACAAGGTGGTTTCTCCCTCAGGAGGCACAGACCAGCAGTGCTGTCCCCAGAGTGGCCTGAGGTGGCTGTGTGGGTCAGGGGTCTGGGGCACCCCAGCAGGGGGCCTGTGTCTGCCTGCTGCCCGCCGTCTCCTGACCCTCAGCTGAAGGAGCAGCCTGTGGCTCCCTGGAGGGGAGGTGGGGAGCAGATGGCCCAATGAGGCAGCTGCTAGGCCAGAAAAGGCAAAAAGGGAACCCAGTGGTGACCCAGGGGCCAGCAGCTGGCCTGGGGTGCAGGGAGGGGCCTGCCGGGAACCTGCGCTGGGGGCCCTGGGCCTGCCGTGGCGAGGGAAGGACATCAGTGCCCTCCCAGCTGGAGGCAGGGGCCTTCGGGAAGGGCCTGGTCAGGGCCCAGCCTCGCGGAGCCCAGCGCACACCTGGGTCTGGGCCCAGGAGCGAGCCTGGAGACCCCTTCCTCCAGGGCCGAGGCCTCCTGGGAGCCCGCCTGGCTTTGCCTCCTCCCGAGTGTGGCTGAAGTGCAGCGCTGACGGGTGACTTGGGGTGCTGCCACAGGCATGTGACGCTGAAGAAGCTGATGGGGCGGCGTTGGGAACGGAGATGCCAAGCGCATCCCAGCCCCTTAGCTGTCATTGAAAGCAGAGGACAGCAGCTTCCTTCTCGACACCAGGGTTGAATGTCCACCTCCAGAACTGGCAGGATCTCCAGGATTGTGTCACTCTGCTTTAATCCGCTTCCTCAGTCTTCGGGGACTGAGATGCTGCAGGCCGCGTCAGTCGCGTGGACGGGGTCCGGCCAGGCAAGTGGACTCTGGGGGTGCGACTGCTGATTTTTGTTGATTACTCTAGTGATGGCATCGGCTTAGTCCTTGGAATGACCTTGGTGAACACAGATGGTCATTGTGCAGTCCAGTGGCTCAGCTCCAAGTGAACGCCACCCACGGGGCAGACAGAATGTGCAGAATGCCAGGGCACCCGGCCAGCCGCTCATGCGTGGCTGGGACACATCCGCCATCACTGCTGCCCGCCTTCTGCCCCGCGTCTCTGCCTGGCTCTCTCAGTCTCTCACGTGCTCCGCGTGTCCCCCTGTCTCTGCGTGTCTCTGGCCCTCTCGCACGCTCTGTCTCTCCCACATGTTCTGTCTCTGTGTCTCTGTCTCTCACACACGCTGCCTACCTCTATCTGTCTGTCTCTCCCACACTCTCTCACAAACCCTGTCTGCCTCTGCCTCTCCCATGTGCTCTGCCTCTGTCTCTCTGTCTCTCACACGCTCTGTCTCTTGTCTGGCCCCACACGCTCTGTTTCTCTGTCTGTCTCTCACTTGCTCTGTCTCTCTCTGTCTCCCACACGCTGCCCGCCTCTGTCTGTGTCTGCCACGTGCGCTCTTGCCCTCTGTCCAGCAGCTTCTGCCGGGGAGGTGGCCCACTTCTCTCTGCCTGCTGCAGGTCCTAAGGTTTTTCTGGAACGTTCTATGGAAATATGCACCAGAAAAGCAGCTTGGTGACCTGCTGTCTCCTGCTGCCTCGCCCCTTGACCTGCCAGTTGTTTCTCAGAGCTCCTTGTTCTCATTTTCCTGGGACTTTGGCCCAGGGGAGGTCTGATTCTGAGCCATGTTTACCTGGAAGTCCTCACACTTGGTGGGCGGGACTTTCGTGCTCCCAGCTCTGTCCCCTCCCTCCCTGGCGGGCTACCTCTAAGTCACCAGTGGATGGAGTGGGCGGCCCTCGACTCGGCTCTCCCTGAGGCCCCGGCTCCCATGCCCACCAGGCCCTCTCCCTGGGTTGGTGGCACCTGCCAGTGTGGAGCATTGGGTTGGTGGATTCTTCAGTGGCCCTTTGGTGACTTAAGCATGGAAGGAGCCACTGTAAACCTGGCTGGGAGTGGGGACGGGGGCAGAGGGGAGACTCGGCGCCCTCTGGAGAGGCCGGCAGGGGTAGTCCCTGGCCTTTGCCAGGGGTGTGATGTGGCTGGTGTGTTGGGAGCTAGGAGGCCCCTCCGGGTGGACAGCCAGCCACAGGGAGCCGAGAGCAGGTGGAGGCAGCCAGCAGGTGAGCTCTCAGGAAGGTGGTAGAAATGGAGGGGTGCACGCAGGAGGAGGGGTGACCTGGAGATGGTGGTGGGGTGTCTTCCAGCGGAGGAGGCAGGGGAGGTGGGAGGATTGGCCAGCATGAGCCTCAAGCTCCTTGGGCATGGCCAGTTGTCCTGATTGCAGGTGGCCAGCCCTCCCCAAGTATAGAGCCTGGGGACATCCCTGAGCCTCCCAGTCCAATTGAACACCTGCCTGTGGCATGACTGAGTCCGTGGCCCCCAAGTCAGGGCTGATGGCATGTCTGGCCTTGACACAGGGACAGGATGGCCCGAGCGTGGGGTGGGGGAGGCCCCAGGCTATCCCTTGTGCTCTCGAAGGGCCAGCAGGAGAGCCAGGGCCCACAGGTGGCTGAACCCTTGCACACCGCCCCGCAGCACATGCAGCTGCGTTCCTGCAGCGCCTGGCCCTGCCTGGGGTGGGTGGGCCTGCTGCCCCACACTGGGCACAGGGCCATGGATGGGAGACAGGCTCCGTGCTGAGTAGTTCCCTGAGCAGTTGGAATGGCTGGCTCTGTTCAGGTGCACACTGGGCAGTGTGCGACCAGGGAGGGGACTCTCTGGCAGGGCCACTGTTATAGGTCCACTGTGATGGTGCCCGCAGGACCAGCCTGGCAGAGGCAGGTGGGCAAGGTGGGTAGGCCTGGCAGTGATCCAGGTAATGGGCTGAAGAGTATCCGAGGGGCACTGAGGGAGTCCTACCCACTGAATGTGAGAGGCCAGGGAGGACTGCCCCTGCACTGCGTCCCACGGCATAGCCTGCCGCCAGCCCTGCAGACCCCACAGATCCTGCAGACCCTGCCAGCCCCGCAGACCCCGCAGACGTGGCTCCCCTTCCTCCCTCCACCAGAAAAGTGCTCTTACTTTTAGAAAAGTAAGCTTTTAAACTCACAGGTTTTAATTTTCTTCAATAAACTGCTTCCTGCCCTGAGAGCAAATCTGCTTCCTCTGACCACAGAGACCCCCGACATGACCCCGCAGACCAGGGTGTCTCAAGGGCCCAGCTGCCCTGGCTGAGTGACTCCATGAGGGACAGTAGGAAACTCCTGCCAGGGAGCAGTGAGGGTCAGGTGGCTGTGGTGGTTCGGGGAACCTCGGGCCAGCTGGCCGTGAGCACCAGGGATGGCCAACCAGGTGGCCTGGCAGGCCCAGGCCTTACTTCCTCAGAAGGGCGGAGGCTGGGAACCGAAAATCTGGCACCAAAGATGGCCTCACAGCCGTTGCTGGTCCCCGCACTATATTGGTTTCCTTGAATGATTTCATTTGGTGGAATTTCCAGAATCATCCATGACCCCTTCAGTGAGTTCAGCTGGACAGGGGCTCTGCCTCAGCCTCTGGGCTGCTGTGCCCCATGAGTTTCCTAAACAAAGGACGAGAAGCCCCTGGCTAGGCACATGGGGCCCGAGAGTGCCAGGGGCAGCAGGTCAGGGAGAGCCGTACCCGCTGCCCCTGTTACTCCCCTCCTCCAGGCAGGTGCTCGGGCTGTCACCAGGGCCCTGATGCGGGGTCCCTGGGACCCTGACCCTGGGCTCTCACACCTGTCCTGCTATCTGTCTTGCAGGTGTTGGGATTTGAGATCGACGCGGTGAACTCTGTCCAGTTTTCAAATCACACAGGTAAGGCCTCGTGCAGCAGTTGAGCTGAGCACAGGTAGGTGGCATGGACCCCTGGGAGCCAGAGTGCCATCCTCCTATGGACGAGGGCCCCAAAATGTCACTCTCTACTGAGTCTGGGGGCAGGAGCTAGGGTTTCCTCATCCTTGTTGGGTTTGGATCTCAGCTCTGCTGCTCTGGAGGTGTGTGACCTAGAAGAGGTGATAGGGCCTCTCTGTGCCTCAGTGTCCTCCTCTGAAAACCAGGGTGGTGATCCAAGGCCCAGCTTGGGGAGAGAGTTCCATGGGTGAGCCCCAGGGCTGGTGCCTGGCTAGGAGCACTGTCCTCCCTGCCGGGTCAGCCCTGCGGGAGGCCTGTTCACACCCTGTCCACCAGGGGGCGCTGTGGGTGTGAGGAGGTCCCCTCTGTTCCAAGGTGACCCTCTAGGCAGTCTGGATTTTTAACTCCAGTGCCACAGAGCGGGGCGTCTGTGCTCATGGGGACTCCGAGGACTTGGTTGCTCTGAGCACTGAGGGGTGAGCCTGTAGGGGAGGCCTCACTGCACCCCTGCCTCCTGGGCTCCCTACCTGTTCCCACCCTTTGCCCCACCACACCGTTGCTCAGAAGCAAGGCTGGCGCCTCTCACCTGCCCCCAAGGTGTGCGGCCCCTGGGCAGCCATGGCGCTGGTGGATGAGTGACAGCCCCTACCTTGCAGCCCTGGGGCGGGTGGAGCACCCCATGCTGCCATCTCTGTCCTCGAGTCACAGGCTGCGCAGGCTGTGTCCTGGGTGGCGGACCTGCAGTCCTTGACTGAATGACCTTCATTCCTGGAGTGCGGGCCTTCTCACCTGCTCCCCATCTTCTAGAAGCAGCCGCCAAGGCCCCTGGCGCAGGGGAGGCGTACTGCCACGTTAGTGACAGCCAGCATCCTGGGCCAGCGCTGTGCTGCCTCCGCCCAGCGAGGATCTGTCGTGTGGTCCCACGTGGGGCTGGCCATGCAGGCCCAGCCACGTGCTGTCTCTGCCCTGGGCCACAAAGCCCCATGGCCCTGAGCCAGGACACTTGAGCCAGGGTCCACTGAGGCTCCCCTGCTCTGCTGCCTGCTGTGCACTTCCTGGGTGGGCAGTGCCCAAGTAGCTCTGAGCCCTACTCCAGGGTCTGCCCTCTCCTCCAGGCCAGAAGCCCCCCTCCCCCTTGTTATTTTTATTTATTTTTAAAAATCAATTATTACATTAAATCAATGTAATCAAAAACACACTTCTAAATGCTAATTATTAATTTTTGTATAATCGTCCTTTAATTGGTCCAGAAGAAACTTTTTTTTTTTTTTTTTTTTGGGTGGTGGTGGTGCTGGGGATTGAACCCAGGGCCTTGTACATGCGAGGCAAGCACTCTGCCAGCTGAGCTATGTCCCCAGCCCCCAGAAGAAACTTCTTGACTTATACATATTTATTGCTCTCCCCTTTTTAAAACAATTCTATTACGATATTCACGTATCATGCGATTAATTCACCCATCAAAGTGTACAGTCATTGGGGTTTTTGGAGGGTGGGGGTACCAGGGATTAAACTCAGGCACTCAACCACTGAGCCCCATTCCCAGCCCTATTTTGTATTTCATTTAGAGACAGGGTCTCACTGAGTTGCTTAGTGCCTCACTTTTGCTGAGGCTGGCTTTGAACTCGGCACCCTCCTGCCTCAGCCTCCTGAGCCGCTGGGATTACAGGTGTGTGCCACTGTGCCCAGCAGTCTATGGGTTTGGTGTATCCACAGAATTGTGCAGCCATCTTCACAGTCGATATTCTAGAGTGTTTCCATCATCAGAGCAGCACACAATGGCGCACAGCTGTGGTCCCAGCAGCTCAGGAGACTGAGGCAGGAGGATCCCAAGTTCAAGGCCGGCCTCAGCAAGTTTGCAAGACCCTGTCTCGAAATAAAGATAAACAGGACTGGGGTGTTGCTCAGTGGTTAAGCACCCCTAGGTTCAACTCTGGTAGCTTAAAAGAAAATACAGAATGAAGGAAGATTGTCAGCTGCTTCACCAGCCTCCACAGACCTGCTTTCCATCTGAATGTCTGCTGGACATGGCTGTGGATGGGGTCAGGGACACAAGGTCTCCACACGTGGCGTTCTCACTGAAGCAGCTGTCAGCGCCCCACCTGGGGTGCTCCCTGCCCTTCCCGGGTGAGCGGGGTCCCCCAGGGTGGATCCCCCAGGGTGGCCACATTTTGTTGTCCAGCCATCAGTCACACCTCCTGGTTGTGTCCAGCTTTGGGCTGTTTTGAATCGGGCCGTGGGGACACTTCCATGCTCTGCAGTGTACACATCACCCAGGGGTGAAAGGTGAGGGGGCTCAGGCTGCACCTGACCCCCAGCAAGGAGCCGTGACAACATGTGATGTGTCATCTGCTGGGAGCTCAGTGGAGACTGAGCGCTTGGGGTTGGTCACTCCTCCTCTGCCTGGCCGAGGGGCGCCCTGTACCCCGCATTCCCGCTGCTCCTTAACAGGCCTTGCCAGAGCTTCCTGTTCCCAAGGTCCCCGCCTCGAGCGGACAGTACGGAGCTGGCGGGGCTGAGGCTTGGTGGTTGGGACTGGGGCACTGTCTTGTCACCTGGAGTTTGGAGAGTGAGGCAGCTGGCCAGGGGCAGCCAGCGTGGACACAGGGAGCCTGAGGACTGGAGAGGACTGGCGGCAGGAGTCTTGGGACTACCCGGGGGCGGGACTGCAGTGGGAAACCTGCCTCCCACTTCTCTGCTGCTGTTGGTTGACCAAAGGATCCAAGTGTCCCTTCCAGAAGGTTCTCGCAGGCTCTGGACCCATCGAGTCACAAGGGAGGTGCAGGAGGTCCCCCAGGCCCAGGCTTTCGTGTTTGGTCTCTCTCTCAGACTCATTGGCTAGAGGAAGGTTGCTTTGGCTCAGCTCAGGCCCCAGGCTGGTTGGCTCTGGTGCTTTGGGGCCTGTGGTGGGGCGGCACATCACATGGGAGCCCAGGGGGAGCGAAACCGCTCTCCTTCTGTCCAGGAAGCATAAAAGGAGGAGACTGGGGGCCCACCGTTGCTTCTGAGGGCACGCGCCAGCCACCTAAAAACCTCACTAGCCCCCCCCCCCCAGCACCATGCTGCACATGGACCTTTGGGGACATTGCAGATCCAAAAATACATCAGCCCGGAAGCCACCTCTCTAGGAATCCTGTGCTCTGCCGTGGGGCCTGTGCTTGGCACCTGGCTGGGTGCTGGCGGCTCACCTTCCTCCTAGTGAGCCAGGGGCTGAACCGTGTCCCCACTCTGGATTCCTGGGTTGCAGCCCCAATCCCCGGGACCTTGGAATGCGACTTTATGTGGATGAGGCCTTTAGAGGCACTGATTAACGTTCATGAGGTCATGGGGTGGCCCTGACACAACACAACTGTCCTCATAAGAAGGACACGTCAGAGCTGGGCCTGGTGGTGCGCCCTGAAATCCCAGTGGCTCAGGAGGCTGAGAGGAGGGCTGCCAGTTCAAGGCCAGCCTCAGCCGTAACTTAGCAAGGCCTTAAGCAACTCAGCAAGACTCAACAACTAAAGAGGGCTGGGGTGTGGCTCAGTGGTTGAGCAACCCTTGACTCAGTCCCTGATACCAAAACGTATCCCTGGGTTAAATTCCTACTACCAAAAACTAGAGAAGAGGAAGCCATAGGACCCAGATGCACAGAGGGGAGGATGGCATCTGAACTAAGGAGAGGGCTCCAGAGAGACCAGCCCTGAGACCTTGATCTCAGACTTCCAGCTTCCAGAACGTGAGAGAATGAGCACCCGAGGTCTCAGCGGGGTCTGTGTACCTGGTCACAGGTGCCTGAGCACACTGGGACACAGGTGTGCAGGTGGGTTTACCCCACCCCCCAATTTGGAAGGATGTCTGAGACCAAGGTTCAGAAAGGACCTTTTTGTCTTGCACCCTGCACCACTAGGCCTGTGAGATTTTGGTGGCAGCCTCAGGCCTCCTTAGGAAAGCTAGCCCAGGGCCCAGGGGCATCCCAGATAGTGGGCAGCTGGAGCCTGGAGGGGCAGGCTCCTGACCAGCTGAGCTGGTAGCCAGGGGTCAGTCTGTTTCTGTCTGGCCAGTCCACCGCGTACCTGGGTCCTGCACGTCCTTCTTCAGTCAGAACCTGAGGGTGCCTCTGCCAGGTGGGGCAGCCGAACCCTCGTGTGTCCCTGGGGCTGTTCTGGAGAATGGCATTTGTTCCAGACACCTTAGGATGGCGCCTGGGGAAGCCAGGGTCCTTTGCCATGGGAACAGCTGTCACCACACAGGCCAGACACTCGGGGAGGGGTGTCACAGGGCCCTCATGCAGGGAGTCGGATGGTCTGACGCCTCCAGCCCTGGGCTCTGCTGTTCCAAGAATCAGAACCGAAGGGCTGTGAGATCTTGTGTTCGGGGTGTGAGTCGGGGACGCCAGGCCCCTGGGTGGGGGGAGTGGTGAGAGGTGGGTTTCCACACTTGGCTTCCCCTGGCACACACGGGTGCCCCCCAGCAGTGCTGCAGCGTCCTGCACCTCAGGTGTACCCCAGGTTGCGGGCAGTCCTGGAGTGGACACCTTGCTTGGACTCCTGTTGGTCAAGGGCAGGCTGGGCACTTGGGTCTGTTTCTTGTCCGGCTTGGTCCAAGGCTTTCCTTGCCACTCGGTAACCTTGTGGAGGTGTCCCCACAGGGTGCCCAGTGCTGGGTGACAGCCCTGCTTGATGCCCAGGAACACAGTGGGGACTGGATCCGGAGATGGGGGGAGGGCACTGAGCCACTCCTGCAGAGCCTGGGGAGAGGTCAGGCAGCCTGGCTGCCCTTCCCACTCAGGACCCCAGTTCTACGGGACCCAATTGCAGCAGGAACTGGCCAGCAGAGTGTGCAGACACTGGTGCAGGACCTGGGGCTCTCAGGGGCGCTGGACACGTGTTGGGGGCCTGCTGAGGCACTGTGCCTGGGCTGCCTCACTAGGCCTTGTGCAGCCCCAGGGGAGGGCTGCCCACTGGGCATCCCCAGGGAGGGTGGGCAGTTGTCCCTGGGCTAAGATGGCCACCAGAGAGGCCTATGCCGCTCCGCCCTTGGCCCCCGTGCCTCAGGCCCGTGTGATCTGCCGCCCCTGCAGGCTATGCCCACTGGAAGGGTCAGGTGCTGAATGCCCATGAGCTGCAGGAGCTGTACGAAGGCCTGAAGCTGAACAGCGTGAACAAGTACGACTACGTGCTCACGGGTGCGTGCCCTGGGCCAGCGGCCGCTGAGGGCCACAGCCCCCTCCCCAGGCTTGCACCTGGTCCCTGCTTTCTTCAGGGAGGGTCTCAGTTCCCCAGGCATGTCACATCCTTGGTGGCCTTGGGCCTGCCACTCTGGGCCTGGCTTGGGTCCTGGGTGTCCTGGGGCCATGGCGGGCAGCACAGGTGGGTGTTGGGGGTGCTGCTGGGCTGCAAGGGGGCCAGCAGGGACTTTTTAAAAACACCTGGTTAAAAGTGATACCTGCTCACTGCCGAAGGCAGAAAATGAAAGAAAGGAAGAACTCAGCCGTCTGCTGGCCACCCAGGGGTCATTTCAAATGTTGCATTTCTTTGGGGAAAAAGAAAAAGGCCTGGTCTCCCTTCGTGACCCTGGACTGGCCCCACGCTGCCTGGGCACAGGCCTTGCTGTGCTGCCCAGCCCCCGTGGTTGCGGAGCAGCTGTACTAAGAGGGTAATCTGTCTTCTTCCCCCTGAAGGTTACACCCGGGACAAGTCCTTCCTGGCCATGGTGGTGGACATCGTGCGGGAGCTGAAGCAGCAGAACTCCAGGCTCGTGTACGGTGGGTGCTGGACCAGCCCGCTCTCGGCCCGAGTGGCCAGGGTGGACCTGTCACGCTGAGTGGGGTTGGCCGGGAGCCCAGGAAGGGAGGCCCAGCTGCCTCCTCCTGGCCACCCCTCCCGCTCTGTCCTGGCCAGTCAGCTTTGTCCACTGGTGTCCAGGAGAACCTTGCGGCTCTGCAGAGGAGCGGGAAACGTTTCCTGGGTCTCGGGCATGTGAGAGAGAGGAGTTAATGTGCTAAAAGTCGGGGTACCCAAGATGTGCCTGCACATGACCCTAAAGGGCATGGGCATGGGGTGGCACGCAGGCAGGGCCAGGCTGCAAGGGGGTGAGGGGAGTGGCCATGTCCGGGTGTGTCTGCATAGAGCAGCCCTCCTTCGTGGTCAGGCAGCCCTGGGCCCATCCTGTCACCTGGAATAGGGCCAGTGTCGCCAGACTTGCAGACTGCGGACCTTTTCCAGGGGCATGGTGACCCTGTCCCCCCGGTCAGTGGCGGGTCTGCCCCAGCTTGTTGCTTTGTCCATACTGCTGTACAGGCCAGTGCCGGGAGGCCTGGGTTGGCCTGTCCATGGCCAGGGAGGGGAGGGACTGCTGTGCTTGCTCAGAAGCCCCTCGATGCTCTTCCTTGTCACTTGAGAAATGGTGTAGGTGCTCCTGAGTTAGGTCAGAGTCAACCAGTCGTCTTAGACAAGGAAACGCAGGAGCCAGTACCCGAGGACAGCCGGGAGCTGGGGGGTGCCTGGACTGGCTCACCCCGCTTCACACCCGCGCGTGGTCGCAACAGCAAGCACTGGCCGCTGCTGGTGGAATATGCGATGGCACAGCCACCATGGAGAACAGTCTGCCAGTCGCTCACAAAGTCACGTGCAGTCACCTCGCAACCCAGTTCCCTCCCTGCTGTGTGCCAGAATGACTGAGGCAGACCCTCCACCAATTATGCACCGTGTTAACAGCAGCCAAAGGTGGACACACCCAGGGTCCACTGATGGTAAAGTGGACAGGCACAGGGGGGTGTGGAACACAGAGCCCGAGTCAGCCTTAAAAGGAAGGAAGTGGCTGTTAGGGTGGTCATGCCCGTGATCCTGCAGCTTGGGAGGCTGAGACACGAGGATCACAAGTTCAAGGCCAGCCTCAGCAACTTACTGGGACCCTGCCTCAAAAACTAGGGCTGGGGATGTGGCTCAGTGATGAAGCACCCCTGGGTTCAGTCCCTGGTACCAAAAAGAAAGAGAAAGAAAGGAAACTATGACCCAGATGAATCTTGAAAATGTCTCATTCCGCGTAAGCAGCCCGTCTCCAGAGGGCAAATAGGATTCCACATAGATGAGCTGTCGGGATTGGGAAGGTCAGGGCCTGAGGGTGGCCTGGGAGTGGGGAGTCGGTGTGTGATGGAGGCAGTGTCAGTCGGGGGAAGGGGAAGGTGGCGGTTCCCCTCGTGGATGCCCTTGCGGCCCTTCTCCGTCTGTCCGCTCACCGCCTTTCTGACGTTTTACCACCACGAATCATGGGGCTGGGGCTGAAGCCGGGCCTCACTCACGGCCAGCACTCTGCTGCTGAGCCCACCGGCCCTTACAGACATCTGGCAGGGGGTGGCATGAAGGGGTCGGGGGTGTCGGCACCGCCAGGCTGACCGGCGGCCTGTGTCTCCGCAGTGTGCGATCCCGTGATGGGCGACAAGTGGAACGGCGAAGGCTCCATGGTAAGTGCTGCCGTGAGGTCCTGGCCTGGCCCTGGGACACCCAGAGACAGGCCGCACCTCAGGGCCCCGGGGAGGCTTGGGGGCCAGTCAGGCTGTGGATAAGCCCTTGGGCTGTGCGGCACCCTGTTCCTGTAGCCCCAGGGCAGCCGCTGTGCCAGCAAGCGGGGCACCGCCTCCCAGAGGAGGTCACAGGCAGACACTGGAGTTGGATTTCCTGTGTTGAAAGTGGGTTTTGTTTACCTTTGCCCCTAAACATTTAAAAATCAAAAATCATTCTTAGCTCACGAGCTGTTCAAAAGTAGGCGGAAGACAGGCATGGTGCAGTGCCCTGCACAGGACAAACTGGACCAGGTGAAGTCCATCCTGTGGCCCTCACAGAGGTGGACACAGGAACTCGGGCCGTCCTGCCCGTGGGTTTCGAGGTCCGCAGTTCAGCACCTGCACCGTCTTGCCTTCTGCCCGCCTGTGGGCCTGGTCTCTCTCGTGCTGGGAGGTCAGCAAGCGCAGAGGCCGAGCATGGTGTCCACTGGCACAGGGCACACGGGCTTCTGGTTTGCTCAGTGCTCTCTCAGGCACCTCCCCGGTGCCTGTTTTCTGGAACCCGGCACCAGGCCTTGCCTGCTCCCGGTGCTGCTCCCTGTGCTGGGCTCGGGATGCTGGAGTTTAGGTCCCAGAGAGCCGAGGCCCGTCCAGTTCGTTGACTAGGACCTGTCCTTGTTTGGATCAGGTCGATTTTTCCTTGTGATCTGAGAGCAGCCTAAGCACCAGGTGACGGGTTAGATCCAGAGGTGGAGACAACCCACAAACTCAGGTTCCCACACAGATTTAAAGGAGAAACAGGACTCTCTAGTGCTTGAGGTCAGACCCAGTTCCTCACTAATGCTAGGCAAACACACTACCACTGAGTGACATCCCAACCCTTTTCACTTTTTGAGATCTTGCTAAGTTTCCCAGGCTGGCCGTGGCCTACTTTGAGATCCTCCTGCCTCTGCTTCTGAGTAGCTGGGACTACGAGTGTGAGTCATGGTGCCTGGTTGAATAAATCAGGTTTTTTTGTGTGTTGGTACTAAGGATTGAACCACCAACTGCATTTTGCAGTCCTTTTTATTTTACTTTGGGAGAGGGTCTTGCTAAGTTGCTAAGGGCCTTGATGAGTTGCTGAGGCTGGCCTCAAACTTGCCATCCTCCTGCCTCAGCCTCTCACGTCGGGGGCGATCATAGGTGTGCCCTGTGGCACCAGCTGAAAACCAGGTTTTGAAGAACCTTCCGTTGGTATCATGGTCCGAATTGAGGCAAGAGCTAGGGCCTGGGTGGGCTGGCTGCACCCCACCCATTCTCAGCACCTCCCAGCTTCTGGCTGGAGCTGGGGCACCTGGGGCACCTGGGGGCTCTCTGAGCACCAAGGGCACAGGAGCATCTGAGGGGGCCTTGGCTCTCCAGGGAGGTCCCCAAGCTACATGAAGGGGAAGGATCAGAAACCAGCTGTTCCGCAGCCCCTGGAAGTGCCCACAAGGCAAGCAGAGTCATTTCACACCCTCATGTTAGACTCTGGCTTTGGGGTCCTTCTTAGAGAAACGTGGAAGCTAAAGAATGCTGTTAGGTCACACTGTTTGTTGGGCAATTGAAGACAAAAATGAGTGGATCGTGGGTGTGGCTCACGGCATGGCTTCCGTAGATACCAGAAGATGTGCGGGTCAGCTCCCAGACCAGGTGCCCCTGGGCCACTCTGGCCAACCCTGGCCTCAGGACCCCTCTCCCCATCCTCTGGGTTCTCCTGTTTCTCCGCGGCCTCGCCCTCCTCTGTGCTCTGGCCCATCGTCCCCTGGCTGAGACCTTCGCCCACCTCCCGTCCCAGACCCTGTCCCTGGAGTTGCCCTTCCTCTGCCCGCCCCAGCCTCCTGCAGCACCCCTTGCCCTTGTGTTGGCCTTGCCCGCTGCCCAGCGGCGCGAGCCTCTGCAGCGTGAGTGAATCCCCCTTGTCTCCTGTGCTGCTCAGTACGTTCCCGAGGACCTCCTCCCGGTGTACAGAGAGAAGGTGGTGCCCGTGGCGGACATCATAACCCCCAACCAGTTTGAGGCCGAGTAAGTAACCTCCAGGGCGGGCCTCAGAGGATCCCGTGCCTGCCCCTGAAGTGTCCCCAGAAGTTCCCCACTGGGGTCAGGTTACCCCGAGGTTGCCACCTGCTCCTGAGTCACAGTGGCAGCCTCGCTCAGGCCCCACCTGCTGGCCTGGGCTACCTGAATAGCCAGGTATAGGAGGGGGGCACTCTGGCCAGCGAAGGGCTCTGGAGGCTGGACATGCCTCCAGGTGGGGAGCCACAGTGGTGCCACAGGCAGGCAGGCCGCGGGGTCTCTCTGTGGGGTTCAGAGGGGCTGTGGGCCTCCTGCCCGACTAATTGAAGGAGCAGACACCTGGGAAAGCCAGTCACCAGGCTGCGGAGCTGAGGCTGCTCCTTCTTGGCCACGAGCTGGTCCCTCCGTCCCTGAGGCCCGTCATCCACTGGTGTGGCCAGGGATCCCTGACCTAGCCCTGTCTAATCTGGGGGTGATATCTCACCTTGACCCTGAGCTGTTGGTACAGCAATGACCGTGTGAGTCCATGGAGGGTCTGGACGCTGGTCTGTCCCTTCACAGGGGCTGGGTGCTGTGGTGTGGGGTCACGGGGGCCCTGTGGGACTGTTCCTCTCCACTGTGAACCGTGGATGCTCAGCACAGCTGGAACCTCACAGCAGTGCAGTGGACAAGAGTCCCCTTAGGACCAGACCTCACCCCTGACCCCAGCCCCCCTGTCTTCCAGGTTGCTGAGTGGCAGGAAGATCCACAGCCAGGAAGAAGCGCTAGCGGTGAGGAGACCTGGGGGGGCCGTGCATGTGGCCGGTCACGCTATTCACGGCGGGAGGGTGCAGCACACATCTGGGACGGGAGATGGGCACCCAGCTGGGCTGGCTCTGGCCTCGGATGTGGCTGCACCCAGCCCTCTGGTCAGCCAGCTGGCCCTTGTCCCCTCCTCCTCAGCCGGCGCTGGAGGGCAGCGTGTGGCAGGGCCCAGGCTGATCTGCCCGGCCCGTCACAGCAGTCCTGCGAGCCCTGCGGCTGCCGGGACAAAGTGCCACCGCACAGTGGGCCGAAGCAGCACACCCCCGGCACCCTGGGGCTCAGGTCCTGCAGGCTCCCTCAGAGGGCGCCGCGGGCCTGCTGGGCTGGGAGGCAGGTGCTCACCACGGCCTGGGCACTCCTTAGAGGGCCCGCAGCCTGTCCTTGAGGTGTCCCACCCTGCTGTGACCTTTTTCCCCAGGCATTGGGGTCAGGACCGCAGCGTACACATTCAGAGCGCAGCCCAGATGGCCGCCTGCCCCCAGTGGCGCTGCAGGCTAGGGTCCTGTGAGCTCAGCAGTCGCCCCCAAGGCCTGCAGCCCCCGGCAGTGACCTCAGGCCCACACCTTCCTCCCGAGAGCAGTGGTCAGGAAGCCTGTGGCACGGTGCCTGGGCTGTGAGCTGGGCCCCTGGGGACCTTTCACAAGGCCACCTGCTCTGGGCTCCAGAGACCAGCAGGGTGCGTGTGTGGGCAGGGGGGTTCCGGGACAGGCCGTTCCCAGGCCAGCCCACTGGCAGGCTGCCTGGTGCAGCGGGGCTCAGGCAGCAGCGGGCGCGGCCCAGGGCAGACTGCTGTTCCCCTGCGCTCCCCTTTGGGACTTGCCACTTGCCCTCAGGCCAGCATGCCCTGGGGGACAGTCTCCACCCTCGAGCTGCCACTGGAGTCACCTCCATCCTTTGCTTTCAAAGCAAAAAACACACCAAGGTGGTGGGTAAACAGCAGGTGTCGGCTCAGGCACTGGAGCCACAAGTCCCAGGTCAAGACGCCTGGGTACAGCTGCAGGGGGCGATGTCCTCCTGGCAGAGTGGCAGAGCAGGGGACCTGAGCTGGCCCCGGTTGCCCTGTCACCAGGCCCTCACTCCCAAAGGCCCCACCTCACAGCCCCAGGGGACACATTCAAACCCAGGCCACGAGCTCTGGGCACAGTCCAGTAAGCATGGGCAGGGACCAGATGCAGGTCACCCTGACCCTCACAGCTACCGCGTGTCCCTGCCACACAGGGCCACTACAGTCGGGATTTGACCCAGGGCAGACCCCTCCCACTCAGGCCTGGCTCCAAGCCAGCACTGCCCAGGGCCTCAGCTGTTGACCTGGGCAGGCTCCTGGCTCTGCCCTGGCTGGGCCGAGGGGGTGGCTGTGCACACTCAGGTGCCTTCTCTGTCACTGGGACGTGCTGGGTGGAGTGGGCATGTGGCGTGTCCACTGTGCTGACGTGCTCCCTGTGCCACTGCAGGTGATGGACGTGCTGCATGCCATGGGCCCCGACACAGTGGTCATCACCAGCTCCGACCTGCCTTCCTCGCGGGGCAGTGACTACCTGATCGCACTGGGCAGCCAGAGGATGAGTACGTGACCTGGCCTGAGTGCGTCTTCTGCCTGCTCGGCTCAGGGGACCCTTGGCCATCAGGGGGTGTCGTGTGCTCAGTAGAAGGAACGCTGTCCTCAGCTGGCGGTAGATTTCCTGAGCACGTCTCATTGCTGAGGAGGGTCAGCTGCAGGAGGCTCAGGGCAGGCGAGCAGCCCTGGACAGCACAGCTTTATCAAGTGGCCACCTGGAGCTGGGCCGGGCCTCGATCTCGCGGGAGCGCCTTCTGCTGGGCTGTGTTGAGTGGCGATGGGAAAACCACCTGGGCCGATTTTCTCTGGACCACATTAGGGTGACAGAAGGCCGGGTCCCCTGCTGGGACAGTGACAGGGGTCACACCCACAGCCCCAGGGAGCATTCCAAGGTGGCCGCCTCCTTGGCACCTCTGCCTCTGGGCACAGTGTGTGGGCACACATCTGAGGACATCCGGCAGTTCCTGTGCTTGGTCAGCTGCACCTTGTCCCTGAGGCCACCCTCACTGTGGCTTCTGTCTTCCACTTTCTCTTTAGGGACGGGGGTGGCACTGGGGGCAGGAGGCAGCACAACATGCTCTTAGAGCCCCAGGGCACCCAGGAGGCCACCTGCGCTCTGTGTGAACACCCCAAGGGCTGGCAGCGCTGACCCCAGTGTCCAGGGAGGATTGGGGCACCGTGGGCTGGCTACCTCCTGTGGCAGGGTTGATCCTCCTCTGGCCAGGGAGTCTCGGGTCAGCTGTTTGCCTTGTCTCCTCCTGCAGAGCGGCCTGATGGCACCACAGTGACCGAGCGCATCCGGATGGAGATGCGCAGGGTGGATGCTGTCTTCGTGGGCACCGGGGACCTCTTTGCTGCCATGCTCCTGGCGTGGACACACAAGCACCCTGACAGCCTCAAGGTCAGCCGCGTGCCCTGTGCGGGGCCTTACAGCAGGCCCAGGGGGAGGGAGGGGCCTGGCCTGAGCAGCAGCCCGAGTACGGAGAGGGGCTGCTGGGCTGTGGGCTCAGGACCCCCCTCCTACAGTGAATCTGCCCTCTCCCCTGCTTGGGAAGTAGGGGTCACAGTGCTGTGGGGCAGGAGGAGAGCATCAGGACCCTGGCTGGGCTGGCGTGGGGCTCCGTGGCATGGCCCTTGCAGGGCGTGTGCCGGGCTCTGGGCTCCGTCCCCAGCATGGCAAAAACAAGAAGGCTGGGTCCCTCCTGGGTCAGCCAGGTCCGCCAGGGGAAGCCCTGAGTCCAGGCAGCCTGCTAGGTGCACCCTGGGGCCACTGTGTGGGGCCCTGCTGTGACTTGAGGGTCTGAGAGGCTGCAGCCAGCCCCCCACCCCAGGGACCGAGCCAGAGCTGAGGACAGAGGCCCCGGCAGTAGGTCGCTGCAGGCCTTGTCATGGAGGTCTGCTCCCTGGGGACCCTGGGGAGTCTGTCCCATCTGCTCTGTGCAGTTGAGATGGGCGGCCTTGCTCAGGCGCTGCAGGGTACATGGTCAGTTGCCACTGGCCTAGTGCACAGGGTGACGGGTCAGGGCCTTTCTCATGGAAAACTCGATTAAGCGCGGAGCTCAGTGGGGGCTCCTCCTGCGCTGTGTGCAAGAAATTGCATCATGGGCGCTTATCGGGTCACTCCCGTCTGACACCCTGTCCACTGACGCCAGTGTCCTTCGCGCTGTTGGGAGCACAGTTGGCGGGACTGAGGGGAGGAGAGGGCTGGGGAGGGGAAGCAGAGTTGGAAACCTCCCTGCAGACCCACCCAGATCCCTTTGGGGTGGGGTCCGCCATCCTGTAGAACACCGTGAGGGCCAGAAGGGACAGCCCTGCCACCGTGGTGGTGTTCTCTGGGAAAGAGGCTCCCGGAGTCAGCTCTGGTTGTGGCTTCCTGATGCCCTCTGCTGGGCACCCAAGGGCGGCAGGTCCCCTGGGTCTGGGCGCACTTCTCCAGTCGGTCAGTACCGCCACGTGTCTGGCTCCGTGTTTATAAAATGAAGTCCACTGTGGCCTTCGAGTGGCCAGCCACTGGGAACCCTGAGCTCAGGCTGGAACGTGTGGTGCCCTCACTGTTTGGCCCCCTCCTGCCTCCCTCAAGGGTAGAGTGTAAGCAGGACCTGCCACCTGTTCCTGGCTACGGCACCTGCATCCCATGGTGCAGGGCAGCAGAGACACCCAGCTGGCACCTGGAGGAGGCCTCACGCCGGGGCTCGGGGGCCAGGCCCTGGGTTCACCCGCCCAGTTAGGCTCGGGGAATGAGTCTCACGCCCCCACACCCGCTGGATCCCCCAGCCTTTGACCCCCCAGGCAGCGGTGATGATGACTTTGGCTGCCTTGGGGACAAGCGCTCACCCCGATGGCCTTGACATCAACTCCAGGAATGATTCAGCTTCAGGGATTCTAGCTAAGCACCTGCTGCGCACCAGGCAGCACTGAGTTCCCGAGACAGCCCCTTCCCGCGGCTGTCTGGTTGTTTAATATGCAGGGTTCACTTGCCACCTCCCGTGTGCCACCTCCCGTCACTGTGACAAGATGTCTGAGAGGACAAAGAGAAAAGGTGTATTTGGGGTCAGTTTCAGTCCGTGGTGGGTTGGCCCCATGCTCTCGGGTCCTGGTGGCCGATCACGGGGGGAATGTGGGGTAGAAGCCACCCACTTGGCAGGAGGCACAGGAGAGGAAGAGGTGGGCATTCCACCCCCCTTCCCAGGACACACGCCGTGATCTCAGCCCCACGGCCTGCCTCTCGGGCTTCCACCATCCCCAGTTGCCCCACAGGATGGGCCTGAGCCCTAACACATGGCCTTCCGGGACAGTCCAGGTCTGTGGCGGGCAGTCCTGTGCTCAGCCCTGGGGGCTCCCATGTCTGGGGCCTGGGTGGTGGTGCTTGCAGCAGGAGGTGCATGTGAACACCCCTCCAGGCGGCGGTGGTCAGCTCCGGAACACAGCCAGGGGCTGGGCCACAGTGTCTCTCCCTCCCTGCAGGTGGCTTGCGAGAAGACCGTGTCAGCCATGCACCACGTTCTGCAGAGGACCATCCGGTGCGCAAGAGGTAGCTGCCCGCAGAGGGAGGCCCTGTCGGGAGGGCACAGTCCCCTGCAGCTGCACGCAGCAGCCGGGGGTGGGGGCCCTGGTGGGTAGCCCTGTCCTGAACCTGGAGCTCGGAGGCTCGGGGCTTAGACAGAGATGGGGGAAGCTCCCAAGGAACCCACAGGGCACCTTTCTCCAAACTCCACTGGCTTAGACATGGGCAGGCGCGGGGGACCAGGGCAGGCAGCTCCCAGGCCACCCTCACTGGCCCTTGTTGGTCTGCAGCCCAGGCTGGGGAGGGACAGAAGCCCAGCCCAGCACAGCTGGAGTTGAGGATGGTGCAGAGCAAGAAGGACATCGAGGACCCAGAGATCGTCGTCCAGGCCACGGTGCTCTGAGGTCACCCACTCACCCAGCGCACAGCATGTCCCTGTTTTCATCCTTGTGACAGTGTGACGTCTGCCTTAGTGCCATGACTGACTTGCCTTCCATCTGTGAGTGTCGGGCATCGTGGGTCCCGATGGTGAAACCTGCCAGTGTGCTTTTCAAAAGTAACAAGCGATCACGGGAATTTGTGATCTGGAAACCCGACCCCTCCCCCAAGGCCTCGGGACTCCTGACTGCCCTCCGTGGGCCGCTGGCTGCCACTGCCCCACGGAACCCCTGTCCCGCGTGGGCTGGGCCCATGAAGGCTTCTGTCCGCGTCTTGGATGGTTCGGGTCTCAACCTTGAGCATCTGGAAGAATCATGCCAGATTCCTGTGTTGTCCTTCTGGTTGTCCCCTCTCGGTTCCTGCGCTGGAACTGTCCTAGTCTGCTGCGTGCCGCGTCCCTGGGGTCTGGCCTCACGCAGCTATACAGCTGCTCACGTCCACACGCTCAGACACACTGGCGTGTGGTCACCGCACAGGGGCCTCTCCAGGGCCCAGTGAATTCCAGTCAGTCTGCAGTCCTCACGGGTATCAGTGGGACTCCTGTGACTCGGGAACAACTTCTGGGGACCTGCCGTGTGTCGGGAGGGACGTGCTGGTACAGCAGGGCCGCCCCTGGCCAAGGCAGCTGGTGGAGTTGGAGAAAGGTGCCCTGTGGGTTCCTTGGGAGCGTCCTCCATCTGTCGTGTGCCACTTAGGCCGTGGGTCTGCTGCCCACCGTGGTGACACTGCATGGGGCCACATGTGTGGGGTGCAGGACGAGGCGGTGTCCGCTGTCCCCTCTTGCCACTTCATCCCCCTCTTCCTTGTCTGTGCCGGCTGCTTGCTGGAGACAGGCGCTGGAGCTCGATGCTGGTGGTCGGCTCGGACCCCGTGGGCCGCCGTGGTGGAGGCCAGCAGCCCAGCCCCAGTCCAGCTGTCTGCTGCTCAAGGTGACCACTCGGGCGAGGCAAGTGGGGCTGCTTGTCTGTGGCCCCTTTGTCCTCCCACCCTTCCTTCCTGCACCCCAGTTCTTGGGGGTGCCAAGGTCTGCCTCTCCTGGCACTTGCCCTGGGGAGTGGGGTAGCTCCTCCAGGGCACCCCGGCTCCATGCCACGGTGGCCCCTTTCCCAGAGCCCACCCCCGCTGAGTGCGGTCCAGTGTCTTCCGGGAAGACCCTCCTCCAGGCCTGCATTCTTCACCTTGTTGGGAAATGCCCCAGAACGAGGGCGCCGGTCCCCATGGGACTCAGCCCCCTGACCTCTCTGACCCCATGCAGCTCCCATTCTGAGGTCTGAACTGGAGGTCGGCACTCCCTGGCCGCGGTTGGCTGGCTCTCTGCCAGGCCACCAAGCCGGATGTGTTTGCTGCCATGATTCCTGGTCCCAACGGCAGACTTCTCCCAGCACAAGACCCACTGGACCCGCAGGAGAAGGAAAGCTGTGGCCAGAGCCAGGCAGGGAAGACCAGCCAAATTGACCAGGGGCCTTTGCATGGCCTCTCAGGAAAGCTGTCACTGCCAGGGGGAACCAGGGACCCAGTGCCAGCAATGAGGACAGCTGATTAGTGTCCCTTCCTTTCTCCTGTCCCCCATCTTCTTTTTCCCTTTATTTCCTTTCTTAACACGGGAGCAAGTGTCCGGCTGGAGGAGGGACCTAGGTGTGTGTCCCGCCCACACGGGGGGGGGGGGCTCAGGCTGCTGGGAGCCTGGGGCGTAGACCCAGCTGTGTGTGCAGAGGACCTGAGGGGCCGTACTCTGCAGGCACGTGGACGCTCTGCTCCTGAGCGACACCTCGGCTTAGTCCAGGTGAGGATGAGCCCCTCTCCTTCCCCCAGTGCCCTGTGGAGCTGCCTGTAGCATCATGATCCTGGCCCTGGGGACAGGAGGGACCCTGGTGGGAACCATGTTCCAAGTGGGGCTCTAGGTGTGGGACCCATGCTGGAAATACGTTAAGAGGGCCAGGTGTGGCTCCGTGGCAGACCTGGCCTGGCCTGTGCCAGGCCCTGGGTGGGATCCCCAGCCACGCACCACCCCCAGTAAAAGGAGAGAAGACGTTAGCTTCCTGGCAAGGAAGGGTCTGGCCAGCCCACCTGTGAGCGCAGGTCTTCAAAGTGGCGCTGCCACCGTCCCGGTGCTCCTGGCCCCGTTTCCACACCACAGGTGCCGCCTCGGGGTCCAGATCCACAGCCTGCTGTCCACAGTGACCGTGGGCTTTGGTGGTGATCGTTGATACCGCTCGGGTCCAAGTGAGAATCCAGGCTTGTTTTTACTTTCCATAGTTTTAATGACAGCAGAATCATCATCGTAACAATCCGAGGTGAAGGCTGTGTTAGCCCAGTGTTGCTCGCTCGATCCTAGGGGTAGGATTTTAATACTTTCTTAATCCAGCTTTTCAAGCCTTCTGGAGACTGCAAGAAGGAATTACAAAATGTGATCCTTTTTTAATCAATTTTCAATCATCGCCTAGTCCTGCCAAGGTAATTGTGTGCCTCTGTGTTGATTTTGCAATATATACCAATAATTGTGAAAACGATGCTTGGTTTCACGTCCTGGTCTTCAACTTGTCAGAGACTATTTTGTAACGTTTCGCTTGACGACGTGCTGAGCCGGGCTTGGCTGAGCTCCTCCCGGGGTTACCTCAGAGCAGGAGCACTGCCTGCCGGGGGGGCTGCCCTCACCCCAGTGGTGGGTCACCTCCACCATCACCCACAGTAAGGAGGCAGGCCCCCTGAGTGGGCCTCGGGCCGTCAGGCCCTGGGAGGAGGCAGGTCACTCAGGGCCAGCAGGCGGTGTCCTTGGTCACTGGCTTCCAGAAAACTCCTGACCACAGTGTCCATGTCCTGTTGCTTCAAGCCTCGTATTCTCTCTTAAGTTGAAAACTACAGAACAAAGCAGGAGAGAGTGTTCTGGGCTCTGGGCTCTTGGTCCTTGCAGCCCTTTAGGGGCCCACTTCTTGGAGGCCCTGGGTCCATGTTCATGCTGCCCAAGCACCTCCTTCACGCATCTCCTCCTCATGGGGCAGGGCCCCTCAGGATCCTTCCCAAGCTCCTGGCTTTGCCCAGGGAGAGGGCACTGGGGTTTGCGTGGGCAGAGGGGGACAACTCTGGTGTGGCCCTCACGAGGCCCAGACCTCTCTGCCCTCAAGGTGTGGCTCCTGGGTGTTTCCACACCCCTCCCTGGGGCCCAAGGGGGCTTCCCACATGGCCTCTTGCACCGGATCTCCAGGAAGCTGGGTCCTTCAGAGGAGCATGCCACACAGAAAGTGACCCCAGAGCCGACTAAGTGGGCACTCAGAAGGACCCCTGGCCTGGAGAGCATGGTTCTGGGGGGCCAGATTCACTGCCCAAGGGTCCTTCATGAGTCCTGAGCCAGGGCAGCCTTGAGCTGGGTCCTGGGGTCTGGGCGATGCTACCCACAGGGCCCCAGCACAGTGGAAGGCCTGGGTTTCAGCAGAGCTGGGCAGGCGCTCACATGTCACAGGCAGGCAGGCGCCTTGGCTGCAGCTGCAGCAGTGGAGGAACAGCTGGCCACCTGCAGGTGGGAGGGTGTGGGCTCCTGCCTGCACGCCATGCACTTCCAGCCTCAGCCAGCAGGGGGCACACAGGGCTGGGTGGGCAGAGGCAGAGGTGGAGGTGGGTACCTGGCCCAGCCCCTGGTAGATCAGACATCAGCTGCTTTTCTGGGGAATTTGTCTGTTTCCTTCCCTTCTGAGTCCTCCTTGTTGGATGGGAGCCAGGCGGCAGCCCTGCCGCACAGCAGGAGGGCTGGGTGTGCATCCCCACCCTCCTCAGCATCACAGCCTCGGGGTTAGTGCTGGGCTGCCTGGAGGGGCTCCCAGTGGCTAAACGTGGGCCTTCATAGGGTGTGTGTCTCCTGTTCTGCAGCGTGTTCTGGGTGCAGAGTGATTAAAAACATTCCACCACACATCTCAACCCAGTGTGCTTATTTGCTTAGACGAGATGAATGAGCGATTTCAGAGCTGACTGCATTTTAAGACTTCATGTTAATAGAAAGTCATTCCTGGAGGTCTTCTTGTTTTAATGGTGGCAGAATAACATGGGTTTAAAGTGCATCCCCAGCCAGGCATGGTAGTGCGCACTTGTGATCCCGGCTACTCAGGAGACCGAGGCAGGAGGATCCCAAGTTCAAGGCCAGCCTTAGGAACTTAGCAAGATCCTGCCTCAAAGATAAAAAGGACTGGGGTGTGGCTCAGTGGTTAAGCACTCCCGGGCCCTTTATTTAAGAATAAAAAGGGTCTCTCCCCTTCCCTTCCCCCAGACCACTGCAGGGAAGATTCTGATCCTTCTGCAAATGACACCCTTTGGGGCAGGGAGATGCCTTCAGGAGGCCATGGGGTGCTCACCCCGGCCAGGAGCCACCGCTGTCCTAGAAGTCAGTTTGGAACAGCTGGCCAAGGGGCGCCCCCTGGTGGCAGAATTGGGTAGGTGGGGTCAGAGCTCACCACCCTGAGGTCCTGTGCTGGGGAAGTTCTCCCAACAGCCTCTGGCTGATCCGGGAGCTCCTGGGGAGAGCCTGCCCTAGCAACCCTCCCACCCTGTCACCAGGAAGCCACTGGTGTTGCTCTCACCCAGGACCCAGCTCATGGTGCGAGGAGGGTGGGTGCTGGGGCTGGGGGGCCTGGCAGACTCTTCCAGTGTGCTCCAAAGAGTGCTGGAGATGGGGGAGCCAAGCTGGGCTCTGAGCTCAGGCCAGGGGTCCCCTCCAGGTACCTGGGCTGTCTCCTGGATGAGGAGGTGGAGAACGAAGGAGCTCTTCATCTACTGCACGTGGCTTCTAGGGTGAGAAGCCGCAGTGGCCCTGTGAGCGCTGTTAACTTGACTGTCCTGAAGCAGACCCATAGTTGGGTCCCCCCAGTTATTGCAATTACTGCAAAACTGGACCAACGGAAGACTGAGGTGCTGCTTGGGGCCACCTGCCCCTGCCGGAGGCTCCTCTGCCCTTGGAACAAGGCACCTCTCGCCCCACAGTCCCCGCTGCAGCAGGAGGGACGGTCGGGGGCTCAGTGGTCTTGGTAGCCGTGTCCCCAGCCCTGCTTGCTGTCTGTGTGGGTGTCAGTGACACTAGCCTGCAGTGCCGTGTGGGCCATGCTCCTGTTGGCTTCGATGGTCATCCACAAATAAGTATTTTGACGGCCAACGTGTGGAAGGGTGATGAGCTCCCTGGAGCGCCTTGATTTCATTACTGTGCCGGGCTGAAAGCCACGTGGCCTGGCTGGCCAAGCAGTCACTGCCTGCTGTCACCCAGCCACTGGGCCTGGTCACCGCTGCTGATGGTGGCACCTGGTTCCTTGAAGATCTACCTCATGAGGGAAGAGCCACGTCCTGTTCAACCCGAGGACCTGGCTCCCCTCTCATTCTGTGCCCTGTTCTCTTGGGGCCCTGGGCCCTGGGCTCCCTGCAGGATCCTGAGGGCTGGCCTTGGGCCGTGGCCCTGCTCCTGGGCTCCTTCACTCCTAGGTGGTGACTTGCAAGCTGCTGGCCTGGTGGGCACTGTGATCTCATGGCACCTTGCCTGTGTGTGACACTTCAGCAAGGGGCAGGCTGACTCAGGGGACCCCAGCCACCTGCCGCACACCCAGCCCACTTCCAAGTTACTGCCGCTGGGCGCCTGGCAGGGCCCTCTGGCCTGGAGCCGTGGTCTGGGGTCAGTGTGCCGAGGCCGCGCTGCTGTGTCTCCACAGACACGGATCCGTTCTCCTACAGTTCCACAGGCCAGAAGTCTAAAAATGGGGCGCAGGGTTGGTGCCTGCCGGGGGCTCAGGGGAGGGTCGTCTCCTCCTTTCCAGGCATCTGGAAGCGCTGCGCTCCCTGGCCCCCCCCCCCCTGTCTTCCATCTTGGGGACTCAGACCCTCCTGCCTCTCTCTTGTGAGGACCCCGTGGTGACACTGGACTCCCACATAACCCAGGGCCGTCTTCTATCTTAAGACCCTCCACGCCATTCTCACAGGTTCCTGCATGAAGATGTTGACACCTTGGGGCCATCATCTAGCAGACCACGTCCACCACGGGTTGGGGTGGGTCCTGACTTGGTCACCCCCCAAGCCCCTGAGCAGCGGATCACGCTTGGGCCTCAAATCTCAACCACTGCAAACTCCACCGGGGCCTCGCTGGTGGGGTGGGGAAGGCTGGCCTCCACCCAGGTCTACCCCGGAGCCACGTGGCTGGGGACTTTCCAAGCCTGGGTCACAGCCAAAGTGACATGAAGGGCCTCCCCACTGTGCCAGAGCAAGGACAGGAAGGGGAGAGAGGCCGAGAGGGTGCCAGGGAGTGATGAGCAGGCTGCAGAAGGTCGCCTCTGGTGACGGCAGGCAGGGCTGGCCGCAGCACCTCCCCTGGGTCAGAGCCCTTTGTGCCTGTTCATGCCCACGAGCACCCTGCTCTTGCCGTGCGCCTGTCACCCACCCTCCACGCCAGAAGGACCTCCTTCAGGACTCTCTTGTTCCCTCAGTGTGCCACGGGTGGGGCTCTGCGGTCGTATCCTCTCGGCCCCACCCTATCTAGAGTTCCACCTGCACACCTAGAGCTGCCGACTCAGGCTGGCCGGCCTCACCCCTCCTGTGTGGTGGTCCTCAGCCAGCCTGGAGGTGGCTTCCAGCCAGGGAGGCCAGCAGAGGACGGGACTGGCCTGCCCCTCTGCCCTCTCTCTTTCTAATGCGCTCTTGAGCTGTAATCCTCGAGCCGTGCTGGTTGACCCATCCCAAGTGCAGACTCAGGGTCTGCTTCTAAAGGTAGCTCTGCTGAAAGGGACTCTAACTTACGCCTGGACAGGGGCTCCCCAAATTCGGGGATGTCCCTGAGCCTCAAATGCTGACATTTTTGGAAATATGGCTTTTGTGATCTAATTAGATGAGTAGGATGTGGCTGTACAGAGACAGGACCCTAAACATCTGGTGTCCTCACAAGAAGGTGGCCGTGTGACTGCAATCCTGGCCTGGCAGCTCTGGACAGCTAAGACAACAGGTGACTTCCAAACGAGAGTCCCTGTGGGACACAGTGAGCCCCTGGGACCAGGACTGGACTGAGGAGAGGCAGGGCTCATCTGTCTCATTCCAGCTGCCCTCGGGGCCTCTCCTTGCCCTAGCAGGTCAGCCTTCCCCCAGAGCAGTTCTGGCACACGTAGGGCTCTCCACCCAGCATGCTGCGCAAGACACCGCGTGCCTGGGTTCTGACCTTGCTGCCCAGCTCAGCGCCAGCCCCTCGGTCGGCCTTGTCTGAGCTCCAGCCGGTCATGGGGCCGCACCTGCTCCCACAGCACCTGCAGCAGTGTCCTTTAAGTGCCCGTGAAGGAGCTGGAGGAGGTCTGGGCAGGAAGGCCGAGTCTCTGGTCATCTGTGATGACAGCCCACACATCTTGCTCTGCCCGCTGTCCTCACATGGGCAGGGTGTCTGGGAGAGGGCACAGCTGTGGGAGGGGGCAAGGGAAGGACCTGGAGAGAAGGGTGTCCGCAGGGCTGCTGTGCTGTGAGCAGTGTCCATTTTGGTGCGGGCCGTATCCTACCTGCACCCTCTGCTGCCACTGCCAGGAGCCCTGAGGGGACTGTGGACGTGCGCCCGTCCTGGAGCATCAGAGCCCCAGGTCTGCGGTCTTCTCTCTTGCACAACGTGCGTCTGGTGATGTTCTTGCTCTTGTCTAAGGAGAGTCTAATGTCACCTGGTCGGCTCACCCTGCCCCGTAACCACACTGTCTCTGACAGCAGTGAGGGCGTGGCACAGGCACCTGCTTCGCTCCCCACAGGCAAGACACCGTAGCCCTCCTGGCTGCCCACCAGACCCCTCTCCTATGGACAGAACTCAGCACAGCGGTGGGCAGCCTGCTTGGCCAGAGTGGGGACCTGGGGCCTGCAAAACTGCAGGCTCAGGAAACAGTGACGTGACTGTGAACCTGTCGGGTGACTGAGGGTGATGGGTTGGGGACCAGCACTGCGCTCAGCTGGGGGCTTGGGTGAGGTCTTGGTGCGCAGGGTGGGGTGGCTCCTGGCCAGCATACGTCTGGGTGGAGACGGTGCCCACACGGGGTGCCTGAGGGGCGCCCACACAGGGGAGTTCTGTGTGGAAGCAGAGTGCGTCCCTCACAGGGGGCCACGCTCCGACCAGTCCTGACACCTGCCGGAGCTGCCCGCACCTCCCTCCCAGCCCACCACCCAGACTGGAGCTCTGTACTAAGCTGGAGAGGCCTAGTCCCTGGGGGCTGCCAGTGTGCCTGCTGCCTGGCTTCTGGTGCCATTTGTCCCAAATGCAGGACACTTTGTGGGAGGCATGAGCAGGACCCTGCACTGTCCTCACGGCTCTCCAGGACTGTGAGGGTGGGAAGTGGTCCACTCTGGTGTCCTGCCCGTGGGTGGGACTCCCCACCCGGGCTTCAGGTCCCCTCATCCTGAGACCTGGACAGGGCTGGCACATCCTTACTGGTCCAGGAGCATGACCAGTGTGACCACCAGGCTGCTGGGCACCTGGACCTGCTCTGCTGGCTCATCCAGGGGAGTCCACTGCAGGGTATCCACAGGCCCCTGCCATGAGCAGGCCCCTTGACAGCGCTCACCCAGCCTGGGGCCCTCACTCTGCCACTGCTGGGTGGTCTCAGCAGGATGGTCCCACCAACCCCTTCATCCCGAGTGTCCCTCCACACAGCCATCTGCCCACCCCAGAGGGCAGTCATCAGAACAGCCCACAGTACGCACGGCAACACGACCTCGGTCCCCAGCAGCGGAAGCCAGCTCGCCTCCTGATGCCGGCACCACTGGGGCGGGTGACAGCTGCGGGCCGCTCTGCCTATCACCTGGACTAGACCAGTGTCAGTCTCCCCTCTCCATCGGCACCGACATGTCCTGCTCCCACAGCCTTCTAACTCCGAGCCGGGCTGCTCCTGCTCTGGGCTCCCCGGTTCCTCTCCCTGTGCCTCCTGCTCCCTTTCTGGCAAAGATAGGCGCTCGGCCCTCCCCAGACCTGAATGGCATTCGTCCACCCGCCTTCCCCGGATGTGTCCAGGCAGGGAACGTCTCAGCGGGAGGTGTGGCCTGGGTTGCCCTGTTACCAGTGTCTCTTTCTTTCCTTACTTTACAGCACTGGATGGAACCAGGCCGTGCACATGCTAGTCGGCAAGCGCTCTGCCACCGAGCTGCTCCTCAGCCCTCAAAGCGTTCTCCAGAAGGGTGGGACACCTGCCCGTTACCTGCCCAAGGTCTCACTGGGCTTCATCACCTGTGACCTGGACAGCCTGGGTCCTGCAGCGGCAGCCCTGACACACATGCCCTAAGTCCCAGGGGCAGCTGCAGGTCAGCGGCCCTCAGGAGCACGTCTCAGCATGACCCTAAAGCAGAGTCTTTTTTTTTCTTTGCGGGGGTGCTGGGGAATGAATCCGGGGTGCTTCACACGGAGCACACACCCAGCCTTTCTGTTTTTAACTTGAGACAGGGTCTGTAAGTTGCCCAGGCTGGTCTTGGACTTGCTGTCCTCCTGCCTCAGCCTCTGTCACTGGAGTCACAGGCGTGCCACCATCAATACCTAACCTGTGCTTCCCAACAGGAGGCAGCCTCCACAGGAGCCACACAGCATTTTAGAAACAGCTCCCAGACACCCCCCGTTCAGGGCAGCGTGCCCCGCAGGAGCTCCAGGGCTTTCCCTCACTGCCCGCTCTGCCAGGCTGCACCGAGTCTGTCACACTGGGTGCTGCTGCCTCGTGCACATCTCTGTACCGGTGCCAAGTGTGCGAGCATGCACCAGTAGACCCAGAGCTAAGCTCAGGACGGGGCTTACGGGAGCGGGTGCAGCGGAGCACGTGGGTAATCCCAGTGGCTCAGGAGGCTGAGACGGGAGGATTGGGAGTTCAAAGCCAGCCCCAGCAATGGCGAGGTGCTTAGCAACTCAGTGACACCCTGTGTCTAAAATGAAAAATGGGGCTGGGGAGGTGGCTCAGTGGTTGAGCGTCCCTGAGTTCAATCCCTGGTTAAAAAACAAACAAAAAAAAGAACTGGGCTTACTGAAGCCTTCCGTTTCCTGGAGGAGGCTGAGGCGTGGGAGGGCACGGCCAGAGCGTGGGAGAACCTGGCCTTCCTGGCCACCAGCCCGATGGCTGAGCGCGCTGGCCTGCTCCACAGCCCTGTGGTGTCAATGCTGACAACTTCGACCCAGCTGCCCCTGGCCTACCTCTGGATGGACTAGGGTTCAGACAAACAGCGTCCAAACAAAGGAGCAACTAGTAAAGACGTGAAAATAGATTTAAAGAGAGCTCAGGGTGGGGCTCTTTGAAAGTAATTAAGATCATAAAAGGGGCAGGAAAATACCACCTCAAGGACACGGGAACCCCCACGTGGCAGCAGCTGCCTCCCAGTACCCTCCGGGCCATAAGGGGCTCGGCACAGAAGTGACGTCCTTCGCTCCGTGGTCCCGGGACGGAGGGGACTAGAAGTAGGTCAGCTCGTCCTGCTTGGCCTTGTTGGTCTGGTAGGCGTGCAGGGCCAGGGGCTGGTTCTCATGTGGCAGGCTCCGGAACACGCGCAGGTGCACACACTTCTCATCGCCGACGTCCACCTGCGGGAGAGCCTTGTGAGGGCCGGGCGAACCGGCTCCTCCTTCACGGGCAGGACCCCACGCCACCCCTGCCTCCCCCAGAGCCCCCGGCTGGCCTGGCGCACATGCCCACCCCCACATGCACAGCTCCATGCTTGTCCAAGCACCCGTGGTCCCCCAAAGTGGGGGCAGCCCGGACCCCCGTAGCACTGTGCCCTGGCGCCAGGGACCCCGGCCCCAGCACCCACCTTGATGAAGAAGTTTGTTCCCGCCACCACCTGGCTCTTGTAGGACACAGCCTTAAAAACAGGGAACTTCTGATTTTCTTTCTCTTCAAGCTGGGACTTCACCTGGCAGGGTGACAACACAGAAGGAGTCCAGCACCAGCCCCCAGCACAACTGTGCCTCACAACCCGGACCCGGCAACTGTCCGCCCCATGACAGTGCAGAGACCAACTCCTGCCCAGTTCCACCAGTCTAATGACGCTATTCAGAGCGGCATTCGCCCCTTCCCGTGTGGGCGTAGGACATTTAATATTTTCATTACAACACCGTAGACAAGTTCATACCGCTTTTTTTCCCACTCAATATGCAAATGGTTCATTTGAAAGAGTATAATTTTTTTTTTTTTTTTTTTTTTAAATATTTATTTATTTATTTTTTAGTTCTCAGCGGACACAACATCTTTGTTGGTATGTGGTGCTGAGGATCGAACCCGGGCCACACGCATGCCAGGCGAGCGTGCTACTGCTTGAGCCACATCCCCAGCCCCTGAAAGAGTATAATTTTTTTAAACCAGGGACTGAACCCAGAGGTGCTTTACCATTAAGCGGCATTCCCAGCCCCTTTATTTTTTAATTTTGAGAGAGGGTTTCGCTCTGTTGCTTAGGGGCTCACTAGATTATTGAGGCTGGCCTCCAACTTGTGATCCTCCTGCCTCAGACTCCCCAGTCACTAGGATTACAAGCATGTACCACCATGCCCAGCTGTATATCATTTTTTATTTTTATTATTTATTTATCTTTATGTGGTGCTGAGGATCGAACCCAGTGCCTCACGCACTCTAGGCAAGCGCTCTGCCACTGAGCTACAGCCCCAGCCCTGTGTACCATTATTATCTAATCCCTTATTCGTCTTTTATTTATTTGGTGCTGGGGATGGAACCCAGGCCTTGAGAATACTAAGCACACAGGAAACCACTGAGCTATACCCCAGCCCCAATCTTTTAAAACTTTTCGATTAACTGAGATCTGATGTTTAAATTTAAGCTTCCATTTCACAAATACGTCTCAGTTCCTTTAGCATCCTTCTGTGGGCACAGAGGCCGAGCATGGCCTTGCCACAGGCAGCAGGTGACAGCACTTCGCCTGCATCTTGAGATGGTTGCTTTAGGACATGCAGCTATGCCAATGAGTGAAGGGTAAACATGCCTTTGAGTGGAGGCTGTATCCTGGGGAGCTGACCTTTCAGAGGCCAGGAGTGTGGCTCGTGTAGACTGCTTGCCAACCTCGAGGCCCTGGCCTCCATTCCTAGCTCCCCAAAAACCAACAACATCCCAGAAGCTGATAATCTTTATCATGGAAATAAAGAACAAGTTTGTTTTTAGAAAACATGTTAAGGGAGCTGAGGGTGCAGCGCAGTGATTAAGCACTTGCGTAGCCTGTACAGGCCCTGGACTCCATCTCTAGCACTGCAAAGTAAAGCAGAAATTATTCTAAAACAGCTAACCTGTTTATGTGTAATGTAGTTTCAGTGTTGTGGTCAGGTGTGGTGGTGCACACCTTGGTCCCAGCTACTCAGGAGACTGAGGCAGGGGACTGCTTTAGCCAAGGAGTTTGAGCCCAGCCCTGGCAACAATTGAGACCCTCTCTCAACGGAAACAACAGAAAGCAAAATGTGTGTGGGGCATGTAGGAAGTGTTCTCGCCCCAGTACCCCCAAACTAAAACACCAACGGCCGAAGCTCTGTGGATGCATCCATGCTGGCTGGGGCACTGGGTCCCTCGACTCTGCAGAGACTGGGCTGGTTCTAGTTTAGCAAAGCAAAGCAAGTGGGAGGAGGCCCCAGCTGGGAGATGAGGGGACTGTGCAGTCTGACTCAGGCTCTGTCACGGAGCCGCACCTCCAGGGAGGGTCCCTGATGGAAAGACAAATCTCTGATGGAAGCACTGTGCTGCACCTGGGGGGACATGCAGTGACAAGTCCCAGCTGTCACTTGTCCAACAAATCATCCAGGAGCTGAGAAGATAAAGCTGCTCTCTGCCCACCTCAGGAGCAGCAGCATGAACAGTGAGCAGACCCAATGCAGGTGGTGGAGGACTGCGGGGGCCTGGGCCAGGCAGGTCCCTGCCTGCCGAGGGAAGCTTCCTGGTCCTGTTGGCAGGCTTTCTGAAAGGCCACAGTCAGCTGGGAAGCTGCAAGCTACCAGCCCTCAGGGGATCAGGTGGGGCCCAGGGACAGGGGAGCCACAGGCAGGGTCCCTCTGGGCTGGGGGAGACTCTGCTGTGTATCTGCTATCGCATGCAGGACTCCATCTCCCTCTATCTAGGACTAGTCTCTGATGTCTGTTCTCATCTGCAAAGGAGAGAAACGGCAGTCACCAGAGTGCTGTGGTGACAGGAGGTGCTGGCCAGGTGCCCCTGTGCCCTCCTCACCTCAGAACCCATCCTAAAAATTCCCCCACAGCAAAGCTACTGCTAACTTGTGCCTCCCCTGAGACAGCCACTCCTGGTCCTGGCTGAGTAACAAATGACAAATCCCGGAGACCAGGAAACTGGTCAGGACCGCTGGCTATGAGCAGCTCAGAGGGGACCTTCTCCAGTGTGGCTCACAGGGGCCCTGGCAAGTGCATTCTGGGCAAATTCCTCATTTTCAAGGTCTCAGTGGACTGACTCACTACCCTTACTACAGTCAGATGACCCAAACCACCGAGGCAGTGACATGGTGAGCCAGTCAATGCCAGTGGGCTCAGGAAGCAGCAGCCAGGATTTTAAAGGACAAAGTTCCACTTTTCCTCTTACTCAAAACCCTGAGCCTGTCCTGCTTGTGAAGGATCCTGGCTTTGCTGATGAACAGCGAGGGGGAACCCTGCCGGGGCAGGTGCAGAAGGGGAAGAGGCCCGGGAGGGGGACCTCTGCCAGGGGCTGTGGGCAGCCCGGCCTGGGTTTTATTGTGATTTTGTACTTTTTACTTGGAGGAAAGTATAAACTCAGTTTTAAAAACGAAGCTAGAATAAGCGCAGCCACAAAACACGCACAGGCCTTTCGGACGGCCGACTGCCCAGGGCCAGCGTGCGCT